GGGGTATCTGAGGTTGAAGATCAGCTCTACAGTTCACAAATGTGTTCGACACACAAAGAATAAAATGTGTCTTGTATTCATGAAACTTTTGGCTGGACATGAAATATATGAAAGAATGTCTTTCATGAACAAAGTAGTCATGATGTCACTGCTTCCATACAGCAAAAGATGACTACTGAACTGATCAAGAGGACATTCAGACTGCGAACATTTCAGATGCCCAGAAAACGTTCTACACATGAACTACCCTTGACATTATATTATATTATATGTTAAGAAAGTATAATACATGTATACACAGACACAAACGCATGAATGTCTTTTTTTTTAAAAAAGACATAGACCGCTTTGAGACAATGAAATTCACTGTGTCAAAACTTCAGAGAAAGTAAGAATACATTCATGAAAATTGTAACTTAAGAAACATAGCCATACAATGTCATAATGTCATAACAACAAACATCTATTCAAAAAATATATAAAGTTATTGTACTATCAGACTCGCAAATGTAAGGAAATTGGCTCGAATCACATCAGGGGCCTGACATTGTGTCCTTGGGAAAGGCACTTAACAAAAGTTTTCCTCACTTCACCCAGGTGGGAATGGGTACCCGGCTATGGATGGCAAAAGATCTTTTCAGTTTGTTAGAGTTTGAGCCCTTAATCAGCTGCTTACACTGTATGCTTCCCGGGAAGCTGAGAATATTTCTGAGTGTTCTATGGTCTGCTGGGGTAATAATGTAGACTGTAAAGCGAAAACTTGCTGTTGAGCTGGGATATGTGCTACAAATGCTATTATTATTATTATATATTGTTATTATTATTATTTTATCATTTTTTTACATCATCATCATCATCATCATCATCATTATCATTATTATTATTATTATTATTATTATTATTATTATTATTATTTTATCATTTTTACATCATCAACATCACCATCATCGTTATTATTATTATTATCATTATTATTATTATTATTATCATCATCATCATCATCATCATCATCATCATCATCATCATCATCATCATCATCATCATCATCATCATCATCATCATCATCATCATAGACTAGCATCTAAAACTGGTGGTTCTGTGATTTTCCTTCCATCCCGGGGTAGGAGATAAAGCAGTGGCTGTAGGTGCAATGCCACAAACAAAAAACCCAACTCCATTACAGAGAGATTGTAAGAAAAATGAATGGGTATGTTGGTGTCTGTTGTATTATATTGAGGAGTTGTTTGAGGAGATAAAGAAGAGAAAGACGCTATTAAGAGCATAGTTGCTGTGTGTTGCTGAAATACAAAAATTATAATATAATAATAATAATTCTAATAGTAGTAATAATACCAATTGGAAGCTAGATCCCCCCCCCCTCCCCTCCCAGAGCAACCAAGTCCTCTCATCCGAGAGATGGGGGCAGGGGAAGGCATGGCAGATCCCAGAGGGTTAATGTTGTCAACAAGAAAGACGCAAAAATGGTCTTTGCACCTTCTCTGCAGTCATAGGGCTCTCCGATAAGTGCATGCTTAATACATGTATGTAGCTGGGTATTCCCTACGTAAAGTCACATCCAGTACAGTGCTGACAATGGACCTCTGCTTTCCACCCCACCAATACCCATCCCAACTCCATGTCAAAGAAAGGTTGTCGATGGAGAGAGGAGAAAAGAAAAGTTAATAAATGTAATAAAGTAAAACAATAAAAACAATAACAACAATAAATAGAAAGAGTAAGAAATATAGTTAAGTAATATGTCTCTTTTTGGGGTTACCCCTTGACCCGCGAGCTTCCTCTTTTTCTTTTCCTATTCGAAGAGTACTAATCCCCCCCCACCACGAAGAGGTGGGTCTATTTGGGGGGGCATCATCATAAACAAAAAACTAATCATCCTCATCACGTTGTAAGTACAATACGAAAAAAACAAAAGCAAAAAAGTTGATGGAGACTTGAGCATTTGACGTTTTAAGACATACAATATGTTCAATGTCTCTCACCCTTACGGGCTTCTTTGGGAACATGAATCATCATCATCATCATCATCCTCATTATCATCGTTATTATTATTATTATTATTATCATTATCATTAATATTATTATTATTAGTATTATTATTATTACTATTATTATTATTATTAAGTGACAAAGAAAAGCTCTACACAAAAATTCACATGAGAGAGTGAGGCTGTTTTTGACAGTTTATGTCACAGAGCTTAAGGACACTTCACTACGGGGCATGGAAATTATTTCAATAACTTGGTGCTCCGGACAGAAAGTAGAGAGGGTTAATTTAATGAAAGAATACAAAACTAAGTGTTTCAAGTCTCACTGTAATTTGAACAGCTACTTTCTGCGAACTTGAATGGCATTCAACTCCACAACTAATACAGACATGGGAATGAAGAATTACTGGGCGAGTGAGTACCACTATTTACAGAAAGAGAGAAAATAGATGAGATGCTAATTTTTTTCCCTCAAAATTCCTAATTCAGAAACAGAAATTGCACATATAAATATGATGGCACATATAAATCAAAACAAACATCACACTCTCTTCCGCTTCCAGTTCATAAAGTAGAAGAAATTACTAGTTCCAAGCTATAACTTTTCTGTGCCACCAGTATTGCGAGTCCAGATGAATTGCTTTCACTTTCAAACAAGTTATCATGTTCCTGTTATATGCGCACATAGGTCAAAACCAAAAGAGTATAGAAATCATAAAGCAGTTAATAGTTGAGGAAAGCAGTGGGACTTCATCGTAAGGCAGTTCTGAGAAATGCACCCTTTAACCTTTAGGGGCAAACACGGTTTCATGATCCACAAAGTAATATCCGTCCTCTCTCTTCTTTTCCATTTGACAAAGTTGCAGACTGCGGACAACTTGTGTGCCAAATGTTATATCCTTGTATGGCTCATACAGAAGTGGATCCACGCGCTTAATCCCTGAGGAAAATACCAAAATACTCACACAGTTCAAAATTATAATGTGTGTCACAACATTGTGGAATCGGATACTCGTCACTTTTTGGGCATACAGAGTTATTAGCATCATCTTAAACCTTGTTTATTTGTATTGTTTTTGGTACATAAAACACTTGTCTATCTTGAACAGAAGTTAAGATATTTGTGATTGAAGGAGGGGGGGGGGGGGAGGTTGCTTGGTGTCAGAGACAACATTAGTGACAAAATGCCCACCAAAATTTTGTGATTTTCCAAAGCTTGAGTGTCCATAAAAATTGCAAATGTACATTTTCTGTGCCTTTCATCAACGTTTTCCCCTCAAATTCACGCAGAAATACGTTTTTAAATGGGCATATAAAGTGTTCAGGCAAAAAAAGAAAAAAAAATTAATTAAATTGCCATACACGTGGAAAAATGTCTGTTCCTTCGATTTCATTACTTTGACGAGCGCTAGATTTCATCAAGATGCCCCCCCCCCCCCAATATTTTCCTTCTTGAATTTTGGCACCAGACAAATTATATGTTGTGTACTATGTCTGTATGACCTTGCACTGCTCTCTCACACACATGCTCATATGCAAGAAAAGACCAAGGAACTCAACAGCCTATCAAGGAGTGTTGGCCTACGTATACATCCGGGCATGTCGAAAGTAGTGAAGCTAGGAAAAGTGTCAAGTGCTGTGACAGTGGACGACAATCCCCTAGAAGAAGTGGACTCCTTTACCTACCTTGGAAGTGTCATCGATGGTAAAGGTGGAACATAGGCAGATGTAAAAGCAAGAACCGCCAAGGCAAAGTCAGCTTTCAAGCAATTATCAAAAGTCTGGAAAGCAAACAACATCTCACAGCACACCAAGATTCGACTCTCTAATTCCAAAGTGAAGTCTGTGCTCCTCTATGGCTGTGAAACTTGGAAGACAACAAAGACAGTGCTGAATAAAGTCCAGACTTTCATCAACAGATGTATGAGGAGTATCCTGAGAATTAAGTGGCAGGATAGAATAAGAAATGAAGAGCTATGGGAAAGGACAGGACAAGAGGATATAATAGTAGAAATAAGACTAAGAAAGTGGCGTTGGATGGGACACACCTTCAGAAAGCTCAGCGGAAACATCACAAGACAGTCACTGCAATGGAACCCACAGGGAGCACAAGGCAGGGGTAGGCCACGGGAGACATGGAGGAGATGTGTGGAAAGGGACATGAGAGAGATGAAGCTCACTTGGAACGAACTAGGAAGGATGGCCCAGGATAGAGATAAATGGAGGGAGCTTGTATGTGGCCTATACCCTGCCAGGGGTGAAAGGCATTGGTGATGATGACTATGTCTGTAGGATACATGTGAGGCATCGAGGTAAAATCAGGCGCTCGTCAAAATAGTGAAATCGAAGAAAAAGGCATTTTTTCACCAGTTTGGCAATTTTTATTGAACTTTTGTTCTTTGGCTAAACGCCTTTTATGTTCATATGAAAACACATTTCCATATTACTAAAAAAACTTGTTTTAATATTATTATTATGGTGGAGGCTTGTAAGATCATCATCATCATCATCATCATCATCATCATCATCATACTCATACTCATCATTGTTGTAAGTACAATACGAAAAAAAACCCAGCAAAAAAGTTGATGGAGACTTGAACATTTGACGTTTTAAGACATACAATATGTTCAATGTCTCACCCTTATGGGCTTCTTTGGGAACATGAATCATCAGCATCATCATTATCGTTATTATTATTATTATTATTATTATTATTATTATTATTATTATTATTATTATTATTATTATTATT